CTTGTACTAACACGGTTAAGTGTATGAACTCATAACCAGGCGCTCCGATGCAAATTGAAGAAGTGAAAAACACAAGAAGGGGGAGGGGGGGTTGAATTGAAACTTAAAAATCAAAATCAATAGACACGAGATTTTTATCCTGGTTCGCTTGATCTCAAACTACTCTAGTCCATCCACCAAGGTGATTTCGCCTCTCTCCAATGAGGACTTAATTCACTAATTAAACTGATTACAATTCTACTTTGACAACTGCCAAAGTCTTCTTGAGTGCAACCACAAACCAGTTTATCTCAAGGAAAATTACTTAATCAAAATAAAAGGTTTACTGTGTACTATTTTTTTTCCGTTACAAAAACTGTATCACTACTGTGATGTATTACAGAAATTGAGTATAGTATGAATATGACTTTCTGCAGCTTTTTGAGATTGTATGGAGCAGTTGTATGAAATCGTGAACGATTTACCCTTTGAATTTTTTTATATAGGCGTGACAATTTTGTCCAAATGGAAACATGATAGTGGACACTTAATGCACTTTCTATACTGAGAAGATCCTTGTCTGATTGTAGCCGTTGTAAGTGATACTACCTTAATGGAAAAGTAACGCTTCAGAACTTAGGAATCTTGCATGCTGCTTTACTTCAGAACTTGGAAAGTCAGAAGCATAAGGTTATGTTAGCGTGTTGGACTTCCATTCAGAATCAGGATATCTTTTTCTTTAGCGCAGATTCTAATCATCATACTTCAGAACATTTTGATTACTCAGCTTGAGTGCTTCTGTGGCTTAACTTCTGATGCGGTTTCATCAGAACTTCTGTACAACATAGAACATAAATTTAGAGTGCATATTTGTTCTTTGTGTTTGTTATCATTAAAACTCTTATGAGGATTGTAGAATCAAACTATGTTCTAACAGGATGTATTGGCGAATGATGGCCTGTATTGGCGAACGATGGCCTGTGTTGGCATTATGATGTTGGTATTATCACAATGAGGGTTATGCCCTATTGGTACCACATGCATCTTGCATTAGCATCAGTTGCATTGCATTTGATTGAATTGTTGATATAATGATGAATTTGACTTGCATAGTTGCTAGGTGTTGTATGATGGATGATGATAAATATGTGTGTATTTGTATAATCATTATAAATTATAATTGATGATTGTTGAGCTTGGAATATTGCGTGATATATTTGTTGTATACCTATGATTATATAACATATTATATTATTGTGATATCTCACCCCTTCTGTTTAAATGTTACCTCTACGTAGATAACGTACAGATGATCTGGAGTAGCTCGAGGTAGAGGCTTTTTGAGAAGTGTCTCATTTTGTGTAGATTGAGTCGCCGTCATCTCTGATACATAACACTTGAGGGGCTTGCATTGTTTTATTATGATGGGAATAAACTATTGTAGAACTCCACTTTGTTGGATTTATTTGATGAAGCATGTTGAGGTTTGAATTATGATAATTATAACTCATGTTAAAGAGTTAAGAATAACTGTTGTAGATGTTTTTATATTGTGAATAAATGAAATGAAGTTTAGACTTGGTAAACATGTGATTATGTATTGTGTATCTTTATATATGAGCATGTGTGTATGTACGAAGATATGAAATCTTATTCTCGATGTTTTCATTTTATGAATTTATTTACTTTGATTTTCGGTTAAATTACTGACAGGGAAATAGGGTGTTACACATGATACCATCTTTCTTGCAAGATATGGTTTCTTTAAAACGCTAAATAGGGTAATTCATATTTATCATCACACATTTTTGAAACTAGGGTATGAGTTTCTTTGCAGTTATCACGACCGCCAATGCAAACATCTCGATCTTATGGTACCTGAATTCAACGCCTTTGAACATATTTCTTACGAAATAACAGGTTTCTCAACTTTGTCTTTCTCGTGTACGAGCACATAGATCATTTGTTGGTCAATAATAGATAGATATAGAAAGAGGGGCGATCATGTCTTCGGGCATGTTAATATGGGAGGTGACGCCAGGAAAGCCTTTAAGTTGGAGAACGTTTCCTCGCCCTCACTTGTCCATTCAAAAATTTCCTTCTTCTTCAAAGTGGAGAAGAAATGGAACACCTTGTCACCTACACAAGAAATAAAACAAGATAGAGCGACCAAATTCCCAATTAGTTATTGAACCTCTTTAACAATTGATGGACTCCTCATGTTGATGATGGCTTGACACTTATTTGGATTTGATTATATCCTTATTCTAGTCAGCATGAATCCTAGGAATTTTCTTGCCTGTACGCTAAAAGAGCCCTTGATTGGGTTTAAACGCATGTTATATTTCTCGACTGATTCCAGGATATCCTCCAAGTTTGTAGTGTGGCTTTTCCATTATGATGTCTTAACGATCATGTCATCAATATAAACATTCAGGCTCTTCCCTATCTGCTTCGAGAACACAACATTCTTAAGTCTTTGGTAGGTGGCGCATGCATTTCATAGCCTAAAATGCCTGACTTTATAGTACTGTTTTCCATGATTGGACATGCACATGTCTTTGATGCATCAAAGATATCCATCTTAGTTTGGTTGTAACAAGTATAAGCATCCATAAAACTTAGGGATTTTTAACCTAAGGACCCATTAATCAGACGATCTATATTTGGTAGCGAATATGGATCCTTGGGGCAGACGGTGTTTAGGTCGGTGAAGTTAACACATGTACTCCATTTGTTTGATACCTTCCAAATCATGAATAAGTTAGCCAACTAGGATGGGTACTTTACTTCAGTGATAAAACTTACACTTCTCAGCTTCTAAACCTCTTCATCAATGGTGACTCTCTTGTCCTCACCCACTTTGCGCTTTGTTTGAAAGACTGGATGCATAGTGGAATCAATGGTGAGACGATGACATGTCAATCGAGTATTTATCTATAGCATGTCAAAGGGCGTCTAAGAGAACAAATCTATGTTCCTTCTTAAGAGGCCGACAAATTCTTCCTCCTCAGAATCAGATAGGGAAGTACCAAGTTGGGTAACTCGGCGGTTCGAAGGCCCAATCCGTACCTCCTTCAAGTCCTCTGTGGGAGTGAGCCTTCCATTTTCTGCCTCCAGTCTGCGATCCCAACTCTCAGCCTATATTTATTATGCGCCTGGTTATGAGGCATCGACTGTGGCGATATGCTCCTTCTCATTTCCAAATTGTTTTGATAAAATTTATGAGCCGTCTCTTGATCCTCTTGAACCACCCCGGCTCGCCCGTAGGGTAGCGTATGTTTCATACATAAATGGCGGTTGGATAAGATCCCCCATAATAGGTTAAGGGAGATCCACCCCATGATGGCGTTGTAAGGGAGGACGCGTGTACTACAAGATATTTCACCTTGACAGTTTTTGTGTTTGACTATGATCCGAATGTTGTCTTGATAGTTATGTGGCCCTTCACCTATATTTGTTCACCAGAAAGACAATCCAAAAAGCTTTAAATATTCAAATATCATCTGGGTCAAGCTAGAGTCCCTTAAAAGCATTCCAAAACATGACGTCTATTGAGCTCCTAGGGTCAATCAAAACCGGTTTTACATCCTAATTAGCATAATGAACCGTTATCATCATGGAATCATTTTTATAAGGGAGAATGTCAATGGCGTCTTCGCCGGAGAAGGAGATTTCAGATTTTGACTCCTTCACTTGCATTATTTAAATATTGGCATGTTTAATGCTCGCGACATAACTTGTATGGTGTATTTCTGGCAGGAAGAACTTAATTCTCCACCATCAACAAAGCCTCGTGTGGTGGTGTTGACTACAATGTTGAAACTTCATTTCGTCATCATCTTGGAGAGTATGACGATAGTGAGTGGTGAACAATAACGAGTATGACTCATGTCAATTTTACCAGGCATCAAATTGTACTTGCTAAAAGTGCAATGAATGACAACTCCTAGTTGTGTATGAGAGTTTTAGGATTGTTGTGATGTTAGAGCAAACTAACACATGGATGATGAGAAAATCTATATATAGGTAATTGTTGAATTAATTGAATGTCCCTCTCAACTTAAGGGTTAAGGTATTTATAGGACTTCCTTGGAGCTAAATCTTGAAACCCAAGAAAGTGGTTATCGCCTTCTACTCGAGAGCATGGGAAGTGAAACCTTTATTCTCCTATAATTCTGAAGAATGTGGCTTTCTTCTTTGATGGCCTCTCATACCATTATAGAAGAATGTGGTTTCCTTCTTTGACGGTCTCTCATACCATTATAGAATAAAAACACGCCACTTCATACATTTTTCGTAAGTGCACGGGTGTATAAAATATGGGCATGCGTTGTGCTAAATGGGCGCACACTGCGATAAAGGGGTGACCAGCAGCCCTGTTATGGACTATGGATATCATCCGTTCGTCTTTGGTACATCTTGCGTTCCCGCTTGTATATCCTTTGCAAATATACTAGTATACCTATACTATATTAACATTTGAACCATACATTCATTTTAGTCATGACTACGACAATTATGTACAACAAAATACGCAAGATTCAAAAGGTTTTCTTTTACTAAGTATTCTTGCACAATGATTGGATAGTAACTTCACAAATACCACATTCCAATGCAAGCAAATGTGAGAAGCTCCAATTTGCTGTGGTGATTGAACGTTGCGGTGGAAACATTTCCATCGTAAAAACAAACACCATAATATTGTTTCAAGTAAAATATTTTCTATGTTTTTCTGTTTTATATCATTAAATTAGGAAGTGTTGAACAAGAAAGGGGTTAATAGTAGCACTCAACAGAAATTTCTGCAATGAAACATAACATCAATTGCATTAACTCATCTGTGTGGAAACAAAGTAAGCAAACACACCAACAAAACCTGATGTGAGATTCTTATGAAAAGGAAAAAAAAAAAGCACTCACATGAAGTGCTTGATTGCAACTAGATTCAACTAGTATTTATGATTGTCTTGGCACAAACTTAACACAAACAAACAGATACAAAATGAAGTAACCAAAACTTAACCAGTGTTCTGCATGCCAGCAGCAATACCCTTCATGGTAAGAATGAGTGTGTCTTCCAAACCAGGAGCATATTCACTTGTCGGATTCAACGTTACGAGTTCATCAGCCGGCTTAGTTGCTTCAGGAGACTCTTTTGAAAGGGGTGGACGCCCATTCGCACTGCTCTTTGGATCACGGATCCTTTTCAATGTGTAAGCTTGGAAAACATTAAGGGTTGTGATGTAAGAATCACGGAGTCTAAGTCTTTGCTTCAAGTAGGGGTCACCTTCAAGAACTTCCTTGTGTGTAGCCACCTACCATTAAAACCGAACACAAAATCAGCGTGTGAAATAACTACTAATCAATCTAGTTCATAGACGATGAAAAGGATCATTACCTGAAGTAAGAGTTCCTTAGTTTCTTCGTATTTGTTCCTCAACTGTTCCCCGAATGGCCACAGATCCTTTGAAACTAGGAGTCTATCATTCAGTGCCGCAATTCCAGGGTCTCCCTTGGCAAACACCATTTCAACTAAATCAATTGTGACCCGAAAGAAAGGCCACTGATTGTACATATCTTGCAGCATGTGAAGATTCTTTACATCCTTCTCGATAACTTGTTTAAATGCTGCTCCAAAGCCTAGCCATACTGGAAGATGAAACCTTGTTTGTGTCCATGCAAAGATCCACGGTATTGCACGCAGTGTTTCGATGCCTCCACTAGGCCTTCTCTTTGCCGGACGACTTCCAATGTTCATCCTGCCATACTCCATCTCTGGTGTAGCCTACATGACACACAGAAAGTTGACATGATTGTTATAAACGGAAAGTTCAAAAATTACAACCTTTCGAGTTTAGTCCCTATAAAAGTTAATGATTTTGTGATGTCTTACCAGACGGAAATACTCAACAAAACGCGGTTCCTTGAACACAATTGAACGGTACTCCTCGGTGGCAATGATAGCCAACTGATCCATCAAGATACGCCATTCCGGTTTTGGAGAACTTGGTGGACGCATTCCGTGTTCTAGAGTGGCAGCAGTGAAACGTTGCAGCGTTCGAAAGCACAAGTGCTCCTCACCGAACGACTGTTCAATTACTTCACCTTGAACCGTCACACGAAGCGATCCGTGAATTGTCTCTGGTGGTTGAGACAAGATAGCAAGATGAGTAGGTCCACCTCCTCTTCCAACAGTTCCACCCCGCCCGTGGAACATGGTTAACTTAACACTGAATTTCTGAGCAACGTTTATGAGCTCCTCCTGAGCCTTATATAGCTGCCACGCTGCAGAAAACCTTCCAGCATCTTTACCTGAATCAGAATATCCAATCATAACTTCTTGCTTCCCGTCGATCCGGTTTCTGTACCAGTCAATCGAGAACAACCGAGCCAATGCAGCAGGAGCAGCCTCAAGATCGTCAAGTTTCTCAAACAACGGAACAACTCTTAACGGATTCTTGATTTTGCATTCGCGTTGGAGAAGTTCAACGGCCAACACATCAGACGGTGCAGTTGCCATTGATATGATATAGGCTCCAAAGTTGTCTGATGGTAGTTCAGCTATGACATGAAAAGTGTCTAAAACATCTCTAATTTCATCGGTTTTGGGTAGGTCAGGTCCAAAAAGCGGCCTTTTGCCAATCAACTCAGACAAAAGCCATTCCTGTCTTTTTTCTTCAGACCATTCTTGGTAGGATCCGATTTCCAAATGTTTGGTAATCGCATCCATCACGTCCGTATGACGATCTGACTCTTGCCTTATATCAAGCCTTACCAGTGATAGTCCAAAAGTCGAGACTTGCCTCAAGAAATCAAGAAGGCTTCCATCAGCAATTGCGCGATCACCACAAGCACAGAGTGATCTGTAACAGAGTTCAAGAGGTTCCAAAAACTACACAAATTAACATAAGTTAGTATCCGTCAAACCGATGAATTTATTCAACCTAATAAATCACATTGTTTTTATAGACCTCGTCAACATTGGTGAATGTGGCTTCTTCAGGAATGTCGGAATATCCATGAGCTAAGAGATAACGAGAACGCTCACGAGTACGATAGAGCTTGTCCCTTATATCTCCGAGCACAACACGGTATGGTTCATTCAAAGGAACTTTCTTCCAAAATTCTGCATTATGGAACGAAATCAAGATTATCGCAAAAATGAACTAACCAACATATATTCACAAATATACATAACTAACATTTAAGATTAAGATTATCACCTATATAGTGTTTTGCAACTTCATCTTTCTTGGAATTCCTGTGAAGTTCTTCTGCACGATCACGTAGCTCATCGTTGCAACGCCACATAGACAGCTAAAGAAACAAGAAAAGAAATCGGTAAAAAGTGCAAGAATAATGAACTTGTCAAAATGAAAATTTCAAACGGATGAAAAAAACGAGAGAAATGTGAATTACTTCAAACATAAGATCTTCAATCTGTGAATAATAGAGATTAGCAGCCATCATTCTAGCCAGTAAGCAAACATCTCTTGTCACTTCAGGAGTCACTCTCGGGTTACCTGCATCATATTATCTCGTTTTTGAAATCTAATCGGATTTACGTACATACATACATACATACATATACATACATAACAGATAAAAATCTTACCATCACGATCACCCCCCATCCAAGAAGAAAATTGGATAAGTGGCGCATTATAAGGAACACGTTCATTAATCCCTACGTTCTTCAAAGCTGTATCAACACGGCGAAGAAATTTAGGAACACCCTTCCAAATTGTTTCATGGAAGTAACTCATCCCAGCCCTCATCTCGTCTTGCGGTGTTGGAGGTGTCCTCTTGATTTCATCGGTGCGGAATGCAGCTTGAATCTACAAAAGAAACACAAGAAAATCATTTCAACTCGGCGAAAAATCATAATAATGTCTAATCATTTCAATTTTCCGAAAAAAACTTTGATCCCCACCTCCCTCTGGAGAGACTCATCAAGCTCCTGCTTATCATCGGGAGTGATGTCTTTCGCATACAAATGAGATAAACAGTTCCTTATCCTATGAAAGAACAAAAAAAGGTTCATTTTTCTTATCTATTCTAAAAGAAATATTGAAAGTGATAAAAAAGTTCTACTTTTCAAAACAGACCTTGCATGCTTTTGAAGCAACGATCTCCGAACCGACTGAGTCGGATGAGCAGTAAGAACCAGATCAACAGTCTGGTTTTTCAACGCATCAAAAACTTCCTGAGGAGATTTCTTCATGTTAAACACAAGTCTCTTGAGAGTTTCTTCGATGTCCGACTCCGTAGTCGCATTGCTCTCATCCCTGAAATCTCCTTTCTTCAACTTGTTCCTTCGACGGTGCGCAATCTGAACCTCTTCAGCTAAATTGGCCAAGTTAAGCATGTGCGAAAACGACTTGGCAACAACAATCGAGTCTCCTGCATCCAAACCCGTTATCAATTTTCCAAGCTCTTCGAGTTTTTTAGGATCATGCTTCCTTTCATACTCAGCAGAAAGTTCATACACTTCTTGAACCTACACAACAACATAATCATAATCATAATTCATTTTTCTGTCATCAATAAAAATTTTCCCTCAAAAAGTAATTTTTCTGTTAAAGGTCAAATAAACATCTCAAAAAGTCATGTTTCCTTAAAACATAACAAATCAATAGACAAGACACAATATCCAAAATCTGTCAAAAGAAGCAAATTTTCACAACGTAATTATAACTTTTCCGACCAAAACAAAATCAATTGAAAAGATACACAAATATGAAATCAAAGAACAAAAAAAGAAGAAAACTCACAGAATCCTTGAGATCCTCCCCATGCAAATCCTGAAGAATATCAAGAAACCGATCCAGCAAAAGAGCATCATACTCAATAAGTTTATCATCTTCACTCACTTTTGCAGGTGCCAATTGCCTAAGCTGTGCATCAATGGAAGCCATTTTTTCCATCTTGTTTGCCATTGTAGCCACTCACTCACAAACACTCACCTATAAAACAAATAACTCATCAAATTAACAAATAAAAAATCCAAACAACGTTAAAAACCACGAACTCATCAAAACCAATGGCCTAATCAAATCCCAAAACCATGAAAGAGATTGATAAATAGAATATCATGAGTGGAAAACACGTGTATTGAAAGATACATAGTACTAGTGTGTTACAAGAACAACAAACATAGGATTTTTGAACCTATGAAAACATGTAATGAAAAACATAGGATTTTTTATCGGAATAAAAATTGAGTACCTGTTTTATGTGCCAGTAAGATACGAGGAAGAAGAAAAAGAAGACAAGAAATGGAAAAATTGGATCAGAAGGGCAGTGTTTGTGATCTAAGAAGTAATGCATTGAGGTGTCTTTATATAGAAAACTAGAGACATTTTTTATGTGAATTAATATATATTAAAGTTTTTTTTAATATTCCATTTTGGTAGCATATATTGGAATATGCTCTTACTTTTCAATATTTTTTTCTTTTTGGTATTAAGTTTTCAATATTCTATGTATATGAGCATTTAAAAGAATTTCATTATTTTCTATATATTTAAAAGAATTTATTATAAATAAAATAATAATAATAGTTTTTAAAAATTAATAAGATAAGATTAAGAATGGTTTTTTTCTTCTTGTTTTTATAGATTTTTTAGTGGAGTAATTTCATTCATTAAATGTGGATTTTTTCCAGCCAAATCATACTTCATACTGTTCATATGGAAGTCTTTTTTTTATTATTTTAGGGTTGTAATCGGTTCGATTTGGAATGAGCTTTAGTCTAAAATAAATATTCGAACTGATGATATCTTTATCGATTTTATTTAGTTTGGTTTTTAGTATTTTCAAAAATAGAACCGAATTATACTAATCGGCTTAGTTTGATTTTGGTTGATCTGATTATAATGTTTTTTTAAATATTATATTTATTAAGGTATTTTTCATTTTTGTGTTTTTAGTGTATTTTATGTTATTATTTTTTAAAATAATATATTTAATTTAATTTATTATAAGTTTTATTTTTTCAAACAAATAACAAATTATTCTTAATCTATACGAAACAGTGATATAATTTTTATTGCATCATGAAATAAGTTCATTATCAAATATAAAAGTTTGCATTTGACATCAGAAGGTTGGAAAGTGAATTCAAAACTTAGCAAATTAAACACAATAATAATAATAACATAAAGTTTCAATTCACATAAATGAACACGTTTCACACTTCAAACACACATCAAAACTATTTTGTAAAAAGATTAGAAAGAGTTTTGTTGGAGAAGAAACAAAAAAAAAGTAAAAAATTAATATGACAACTAAATCAAATCTATCTAAATCTAAAATCAAATATATATCAAATATGTATGTAGCATTTTTGACACACCTACTACGACACTCCCTTGTCTCTGTCGAACAAACTGCTTCGACACAAGGAATTACTTTCAACACACCATCTAATTCATTGTCTAAGCTATCTACATTCATCATAACTCTTAGTCTTCGAAATACTTCGACCTGCACACCCTTCATCATAATGTCTGCAATATAATTCTCAGTTATGCAGTATTCCAAGTTCATCTTCTCATCTGCTACATGCTCTCGAAGATAGTGGAACCTCATTTCGATGTGCTTGCTTTGACCATGTGCTATCGAGTTCTTCGCCAAATTGATAGGTGACATACTGTCGATCTTCATGGTAATTGCTCCATGATCTTTCCCTGTTATCTCTTCGACCAAGTTCACCATCCAAGTTGCTTGACATGTACAAAGAGAAGCAGCTATGTATTCTGCTTCGCATGATGATAATGCCACGACTGATTCCTTTCTTGAACTCCAAGCAACTGGTGCACCACCTAACATAAACACATATCCTGTTGTTGATTTTCGATCTTCAGCATCACTACACCAACTCGAATCAGTGTATCCCACTAACTTGCATTCTTTTTCTTTATCAGTTGCAGGAAACAAAATACCATAGTCGAGAGTTCCTTTGAGATACCTTAGTATCCTCTTCACCGTTGCTAGATGTGATACCTTTGGCTTCTGCATGAATCTACTTATTATACCTACACTATATGCTAAGTTAGGCCTTGTATGGCAAAGGTATCTCAATGATCCAATAAGTCTTCTGTATTGGATTGGGTTGACATCATCTTCATCTGCATCTTTCGACAGTTGCAGTCTTGGTTCTGCAGGTGTCGAAGTTAAGTTTCATTCTTCCATCTCAAATCTCTTGATAATTTCTTCCGCATATCTTCTTTGATGCTTCACCAAACCTCTACTGCTCTTGTAGAATTCGATTCCAAGGAAATATGAAATCTCACCCAGATCAGACATTTCGAATTCCTTGCTGAGATAACCTTTGAAGTCTTCGATCTCACTTTTACAGCTACCTGTTATTAACAAATCATCGACATAGAGATATAGTATAAGCAATTCACTATTGCTTCTTCTTACATATACTTCATGTTCAGTTGTGCACTTCACAAATTTATTCTCCCTTAGGAAATTATCAATTTTCTTATTCCAAGCTCTTAGAGCTTGTTTCAATCCATACAGGGCTTTATGCAGCCTATACACCTTTCTCTCTTTGTCATGTTTCACAAACCCAACTGGTTGTTTAACATAAACTTATTCATCTAACGGTCCATTCAAGAATGCATACTTCACGTCCATCTGACATATGTGTCATCTGTTTATTTCTGCTAGACCAACAACCAACTTGATTATTTCGATCCTAGCAACAGATGCAAAAAATTTATCGAAGTCTATTCATTCTTTCTGTAGAAATCCTTTCGCCATAAACCTTGTTTTGTGTCAAGTTACTTTCCCTTTAGAATTAATTTTCAATTTGTATACCCACTTGACATCAATTGCCTTCTTTCCTTGAGGCAATTCAACAAGTGACTAAGTGTTGTTGTCTTTGATAGACTTCACTTCTTCGTTCATTGCTTTCACCCACTTCGAATCCTTCAATGCTTCAACTGCATTGACAGGTTCGACATCTGCATAGAAAGAATAATGTACCAACTCACCTTCATTATCTATCACATCATCTAATGTAATCACAAAATCTTGCAATCTTGCAGGCATGTGTCTTGTTCTTTGAGGTTTGCTTGTACTTGGTTTATCTACAACTGATGGTTCCTCTTGTCGAACTTCTCTTTCGACTTGAGTTTTTGGTTCTTCAAGTGGGATTCCCACTGAATCTTTCTTGACATTTTCAGTCCAATCCCATTCTTTAAGCTCATTTATGATCACGTCCCTGCTGATCATAATTTGCTTGTTCACTGGGTTGAACAACTTGTAACCTCCTGTCAAATGATATCCAACTAGAATCATTTGACTCGACTTGTCATCAAGTTTTCTTCTCAACTGATCTGGAACATGTCTATATGCAATAAATCCAAATACCTTCAGATGACTCAAGCTAGTCTTCACACCAGACCAACATTCTTTTGGAGTAATTCCTTCTAGCTTCTTCATCAGATATCTGTTCAAAATGTATGTTATAGTCGACACAGCTTCACCCCAAAACTCTTTAGGTAAATTCTTGCCTTTCAACATACTTCTCACCATATTCATGATGGTTCGATTATTCTTTTATGCAGTTCCATTATGCTGTGGAGTATAGGGTGGCACCATCTCATGCACAATCCCTTCCTTTTCACATAACTTGTCGAAGTCTTTCAACACATACTCTCCACCTTCATCAGTTCTCAAAACTTTGAGTTTTGACCACTTTGTCTTTTGACCATAGACTTAAACTTAGAAAATACCTCGATCACTTCACTTTTCTTCTTGATCAGGTAAGTCCACAACTTTCGACTGGAATCATCTATGAATGTAACAAATTATTTGTTACCTCCCATCGAATCCACCTGGATTGGTCCACATACATCAGAGTATATGACTTCAAGAATAACCTTCGACCTGCTTCCTGCATCCTTACTGAAGCTATTCTTGTGCTACTTCGCCTGCACACATTCCTCACATACCTCGTTTGGAATGTCGATTTCTGGCAATCCTGAAACCATATTTCTTCTCTTCAAATCTATGATGTCTCTGAAGTTGAGATGACCTAGTCGATAATGTCATATCCATTCATCTCTGCTAGCTGTAGTCGAAAGGCACTTGTGCTCCATCATATTTAGTTCGATCTTGAAGGTTCTATTTTGAGACATAGGAGCCTTCAAGATTAATCTTCTATTTGCATCGATGAATCTCATCATCTTATCTTTGATCGACACTTTATAATTATTTTTGACCAACTGCTCTATACTAAGCAAATTGCTCTTCATGCCTGGTATGTACACCACATTAGAAATTACTGACCTCTTGTCATCTTTCATCATAATCATAACATCACCAATACCTTCAGCTGCTAGGGTATTGTCATTTGCGAATTTTACCATATTTTTCATTGAGGGCTTTATGTTGACAAACCAGTCTTTCCTTCCAGACATATGTGATGAGCATCCTGAATCCAAGTACCATTGGTCCTTGAGTATATCTTCATCTCTTGTTGTGACTATCAACATCATCTCTTTTTCTTCATGTTTTGTAAACTTTGCATCACTTTCTTGATTCTTTCATTTTTATGGACAATCACTCGAATATTGACCATACTTCTGACAATTGTAACATTGAATGTAACTTTTATCAAGTTTTCGACCACCACCTCTTCTTCTATTTGCAACACCACCTCTTTGGTTTCCTTAGTATGGTCTTCTCTGATTCGACACATTTCCTTCGTTCTGGTTTCCTCTACCAGTTGATTTTTTGTAGTCGCCTCTACCTCTGTCGAACCACTTTTCTTTGCCTTTGGTTTCTTTTGCTGAATGTGCCTGCAAAGCCACATCACTCTTCGACTTGCCTGCGGCTCTTTCAGTCATTATTTGTTCATGAGATTCAAGCGTCCCTTGAAGCTCTTCCTTTTTCAATTTCGACAAGTATTTCCCCTCTT